AAGGAAAGGAAAAAAAGAAAAGGGGGAGGGAGAAGGAAGAGAAAAAAAAAAAACCTTTTTGGAATTTTAAGGAGGTTTTTCAGTCACTACTTGTTCTTGAAATCACAATCACAAGTGAACCAAGAATGAGATTAGGCAATGGGTCAGAGATAACATTAGATTTCAGTAATTACTTAGTGTAAGTCTTGCCCTTCCTGAAACTCTCACAGACATCCACAACCACAACAAAACTGCTGCTGAAACAATCTATTTGTTATTTTACAAAACAGACACACCTGCTAAAATAGCATATTTGTTCTTAAACTTCCAGGAATAGTTTTCTTTGTTTTATAACCAAAACTGTATGACCAACTTGAATTAATTTCCTTAAGCAGGATGAAAGTCTGTTGGTTGTAGGTTCTGAGGCAGATTCTGATGCTACTATTTAAGGCCTAGACTCACTCATTGTGGTCACTTCTGTATATGGTCAGGAGACTGCTCCACTGTCTTGGAATTTCAGGATGAGAAGTGTTGTCTGTAGTAAACAATTATTTATTTTCCTTTGGAAGGAGAAATAGAAACTTTCTGAGAAGCATTTTCTGATAAGCCTAGAAATTAAAATTAAAATCCCATAGGGCAAAGTAAGATAATTATTTTCCTCCAATATCCATCCCTGATTAAATTTCTAGCCCTATTAAAATGTATGAAAAATTAGCCATCATATTAATAATTATTTCAACTTGTTCCAGTTTTGAGTTAAACTGATTATGCATAATAATTTTTTCAGTCTTAAATTACGAAGGTAATATCATCACTGCAACTAAAAAGCAAACAAAATTCATTGAATCTCCCTGTGTGCCTGAACAGCATCTATCTTTGAAAATGAAAGCATTCAAATCTGTTCCTCAAAGTTTTTTGTAACATTTTTTTATTTCTGTTGACCCTAAACTATTACAGAACTTAGATAATTAAGCTATATGTTCTATTATTTGATCACTTATTAAAAAGATATGTTAAAGTTGATGTTTCAGAATTATTGACACATAGCACATGTTCTTGAATGAGTGAATGCACACCAGCGAAATGATTTTTAAGAGAACTTATGTATGTATTTATCAATAAATTGTTATATGAAAGCATTACTTGAAACGTCATAATGCCAATTTAAATATTTCAAATCCACCTACTTATTAAATTCCTCCAGAAATATTTCAGTTATATTAATTTATAACATCCAACACCCTTTTGAATTTAGCTCATCAATCTAAAGACATCCATATGATTAAGTACAGGCATTGATAATGCTACTTTCCATGGCTAAATAAAACATATACTGAACTGGGGCTGATTTAATGTAGAGATGTACAGGTGGATAAATATAAAGCAGAGTTGTAGGTCTCTTATGCTATCCATTCTTTTTCATTCAAGGTTAGGGGACTTGTGGCCATCTGATTGAGATTTATTTGTAATACACTATTACAAGGGAAATACAAAGTTTATTTGGAATGACCTTTAGTTTCACAGTTTAATCTATTGTTCACATTTGTATGTCTTCTGTAGCTCATGACATGTCCCTCCAGGTCCTAAAGTAGGACCCCAGGGAAAAGCAAAGCCAAAGAAGACAGATATCAATGTTCATGTTTGCAAATGGGTTGAATTCCCTCAGGAAGAAAGGAAGATATACCAATCTTCAATAGTCTAGAGCAGTGTGCCAACATTATAGGGAAGCAATCATAGTTACACTACAGTTTGAAAGCTAATAGCCATTGTAGAATTCTATTCACTTTAAGGATAAATTTTCTCCTGTAATATAACATAGTGTAACATAGCATTGCAGAGCATAGCATACCAATCTATGATCCAAGTAATATCCAAAAGAACTAATATATATATAATATATATATAATAACTAATCACTTATTAGAAGTATATATATATTTCCTAGAAATATAAAATAATGTAATATTCCTAAAAATTTTAAATAGTTCCTAGTTTAAAGCAGTTATTTTAAATGCTACATTTAAATCTAATTGAAAAATACAATTTTTAAAAAGATTTTATTTATTTATTTGAGAGGGATATAGAGCATGAGCATGAGCAAGAGGGAGGAGGTAGATGGAGAGGGAGAAGCAGACTCCCCACTGAGCAAGGAACGTGACATAGGGTTCAGTCCCAGGATCTTGAGATCATGACCTGAGCTGAAGGCAGACACTTAATCAACTAAGCCACCCAGGCACCCCAGGAAAATACAATTTATGATTGCTTACTGCTTTCAAATATGGAAACATTTAGCTATGCCTGTCAGGCATTTAAAAAAATACAAATATAATGCTTTCATTGTGCACTATGGAAACTTAAAAATCAATATATAATGATGATAAATTTAAATTGAAGAATTCATTGATTTTTTTTGGTCAACAAATTTTGGGGATAAAAGAGGTATACACTATCTCTTTATTATCAAGTTTATACAAAATAAAAGCTAGTGAAGGAATTCTATGATTTTTTTTTATTTCATTCAAGTACTATCTATTAATGCCTATGATTACCAAGTAGTCTATTAGGTGCTGGGTATTATACTAGGCTAAACAGACAAATAAAACTTGTGGTTTCTACTTACAATGGAGTTTAGTGTGTAATGCAGTTTATTTACCTACCATAATTAGTGGTTTGTCTGTGTGTAGTTTCCCTTTCTTTTATGTAGAACAAAATCCCCCACCATATTACCATGAGAAAGAGTATACTTTTCTTTCCCTCTTTCTTCATTTCTAAAGGATTTTAGAAAAGTGATGAGGGACCAATTTAGGGTAAACAATATCATTGCAAGAGACAAATAGCCACCTGTTTCCATCCTGTAACAAGGGGAAGCACTACATCAACGCATGGGTGTCAGAACATTTCTCTGTTGATTAGTTGCCACAGGCCAGGATCCAGAACAGTTTGACAATTTGACTAAGCGCTAATAGCTCAGAAGAGTTCATTGCAGTTTGAAGAAACCCAGAAATCATCATACATCATCAATTATTCCATGAAAAAATGTTAATGTAAAAATAATAACAATAGAAACCTTTTAACTCAACCTTTACTTGCCTAATTTGCTGGATTAAAGAAAGCTTTCATTTTCCTGAGACATAAAACAGAGTAACTTAATATACTGACTGAAGTCCACAGAATAGAATGTATATATGGCTCCTAGATCACCTCCTCTGTAAGACTTCCATCGTAGACCCACCTGGTGACCAGCATACTGATAAGAATCAGTTTGGGCCATCTGACTGGCTCAGTCTGTTTAGCAGATAATTCTTGGTTTTGGCTCAAGTCATGGTCTCAAGGTCTTGGAATTGAGCCCCATGTGGGGCTCCACACTGAGTGCTCCCCTCCTTCCCCCTCCCCCACTCTCTCTTTCTCTAATAAATAAATAAATAAATAAATAGTAAAAAAAAATCAGTTTGTTTCCAAACTTACGTTGGTTATATTTCATATTTACACAATTTCATTAAGTATTATGTAAGTAACAGGAAGGATGTGAAAAGGAGTTATTTATTTACTTTTTACTTTTTACAAAAGTTATTTATTTACTTTTTACAAAAGTCAAGGACAATTCATTGGAAAGATTTGATAATGCAAATAGCTGAAAAATTCATTAGGGGCATATGAGATGTATGTAAAAGAATAGGAAAGAAATATTAAATTCCAGATAGCTTCTTAAGGGGCTATCCATTAAAGGAAGCCAAATCTGAATTCATAGACAATAAATCATGGCTCTATTTTATGTAGAAAAGTAACTCCAAAAAACAATCAGAAATCACATAAATGAGAGGCCTTGGTCTTAAGTCAAAAGTTTGGCTAATGAATGGGAATTTATTTAAGTTAAAATAATGTGCTTGGGAAACATAGGTATATAGTTTTTAAATTATCACTGCTTTAGTCACATAGTTTGAAATAAAATTATTTCTAGTATATATATATGTATTATCACTGAAACAGTCTGAATTAATTTGAATGGTAAAAGCACTGCATACTAGGATTAGAAATGTGTGAAAAAGTAAATGGCTACAATGAGTAAGTATTCTGATTTGGAGTTCATCCTTTATGGGTTTATGAATTATTTGAATCAAAAAAAAAATTCTGTCTTCAAAGAAGAGTCTAAAACAAAACGAAATAAATGAAGAAAGATAACATCAAGACAATGAATTTCCCAAAACACTTCCATCTCAAGAAAGTGAATCTCAGAAGGTAATTTAAAAAAAATCTAGAAAAGGGACAGTATGAAAGAAATTTTCTTAGTTTGGATTTGGAAAATAGAGTCATGAAGGGGAGGAATAGATTTTGTGGCGTCTGCTGCTATACAATATCGGAGAATCTCTTAAAGCAAAGTAACACAAAATTATAATTTCTAAATTACATATGAAAATGGCTATTTTGAATAAGAAAAGGAATAAGTATATATACATTTTCAAAGCTGACAAATATCACAAATGTTATGTCCTACAGAAAAGTAACATTTAGCAACTGACACACCTTATCCTTTCCCCTTATATTTGTCTGCAAAATTATTTACTTTTTCAAATAAGAGTTTAAGAATATTTTCTGTGGGATAATAGAAAGAATGTCTTGCTTCTTGTATGGTAGATTGAAATTGTATTTTTAGGAAGCTTTCTTCCAGTTTCATAATTTGTTATTGGTAATGCCATGTGAAATTTTTAGAACTGCCAACATTTGGAAAATTCGTATCAAATTATTTTCATAGAAATGTGATTCAGAACCATTTTGCTGTATCAACAATAATTTTGCATGTCTCTTGGTATCACAGACTAAGATGGATCTAAAATGTTGAGTGGTATCTGGAAAGCATGCGACTGCTCATATGGTCACACAGTGGAGCTTACTATTTGCAGCATTGTTACAAATTTTTGCTTTACAATTGTAGGAATTCAGATAAATTCTGTTTTACATCATTCCCATCCAACAAAAAAAAATCATGATGTATTTATAATTATTTAAGACTAGCCTCTGGGTGCAAGCTTTGGCAACATACATACTAAAATTAGAAAGATACAGAGAAGATTAGCATGACCTCTGCACAAACATGACCCACAAATTTGTGAAGAGCTCCATATTTTTATCACCAGGTGATGTGTGGATTTGTTGAATCATTGTATTTTACACCTGAAATTAATTTAACACTGTATTTTAACTGTACTGGAATTAAAGTAAGACCTTAAAAAGCCAAAAATAAAAATAAAATAAAACTGGCCTTTAGAAGTATACTATGCAATAGATTGCCCTGACATTTAAGCTTCATTAGATTCAATTATTGAAACCCAGCTCTCAAAGTCAATCATTTACAGACAGATGAGTGAAGGAAGTAGGTCCAGAGGAATAGCATCCAAAGAAACATCATGTTTTAACAATGAAATATTCGTTCATGTTGTTTACCCAAGTGTCCATAATTTTACATTGTGGTGGATGACAATGACTACAATTCTCTCATACTCTAGACTGAAGTGCAATTATTTATTGTTCCATTTTATAACAATTCTAAGACTACTTAGAGTCACACAAGTGCTTTTTGACTTTTGTAGGATATGTATATATGTTATCTCATTTGTTTTTGCTTAGTTGCTATATCCTCTTCAGGGATGTGGAGTAAGTGGGGTGAAGTGACTCACCCAAAGTTACGTGTTTTTTTAAAGCAGAGTTCCAAACCAAAACTTTGCAACACAACAAACCCAGTGTTGGCTCTGAGCCATATGGAGTCCTTTTCTGTACAAAATTTATGACATTATGACATTTGAATGCATTCTTAAGTGTCCTGGCATATTAGGCAAGTTAATGTTAGCTGATGTCACAAATAATCTCAACTCCTTGTAATTACAATAAATGCTTATTTCTCACTCCAGTGTTTTAAAGTGCAATGTGAGTATTTTTTTTTAAAGAGGTGGTTCTGTTGCAAACATTTATAGAAGGACTCAAGCTCCTTCGGTCTTTTGGTCCTGTCACCTTCGATATACAGTCTCTGATCCTGGTGCAGAATGGGAAGACAGCAAGGAGAGGGCACACAGGTGTTAATCCTCATGACGTGTAGCTACTGTCACATGCCACAATATTAATAATGTGGCTGCACCTACATGCAGTGAAGCAGGGAAATATATTCCCTAGTTTGACAGCAACATTCCAGAAAAAAATAAAAAAAATGTTTATTAAAAAAAAATCAGTTACTGTAGTCAAGTTGAAAAGGTAAATGAAAAGAGAAAAAGGACAAAATTAGACTTTATTTCCTTCTTGGCCATCACTCTAAAGCTATATATATATATATATATATATATATATATTGCTCAAACCATGAAGAAAGATGGTCACAGTATAAGAATAAAGATATATCCAAAGGGCCGATTAAAATAATTAATTAATTAATTAATTAATTAATTAGTTTTCCATATCTATTTAATACATTTATGGTTGGAAATCTAAAATATAACTTATTATAGGTTCTACCATAATGACTATTCTTTTTTTTTCATAATGAGTATTCTAAACTGAAATCATATACTCATAGAAACATGTTAGTGAACATTTCTTTTAATTCATGCAAGAGTTGTTTGTTCATTTTACTTTCTGGGGCACACGATATGTCAGAATGTGCTGTACGTGTGACTTTCTTCCAAGAAACCCACAAACCACACACATAGACTCAAATACAATGTGCAAAATGAGATATACCATGATGGAGATCTGCACAGAGAATACTTTGGAAGTCTGGGCAGGAAGATGAGAGAGGTTAAGGGGAGCTAACAAACTCTGGTGATGACAAGATAGCCTATCCAGTTCAATCAAGGGATTTTCACCTACCAACAGACAAGAAAACATAATATTGCTGACAGGCTAACAACTCCCCCCATTTTATTGAGAAATAATTGGCATTTATCACTGTATGAATTTAAATACAGCATGATGGTTTGATTTATATACACTGTGAAATGGTCACCCTAATAGGTTCAGTCATTACCTGCCTTCCCATATAGATGTAATAAAAAGAAAAGAAAAAAGAATAAAAGAAGAAAACATGGGGAGCCTGGGTGGCTCAGCGGTTTAGCGCCGCCTTTAGCCCAGGATGTGATCCTGGAGGCCCAGGATCGAGTCCCACGTCGGGCTCCCTGCATGGAGCCTGTTTCTCCCTCTGCCTGTGTCTCTGCCTCCCTCTCTCTGTGTCTTCCATGAATAAATAAGCAAAATTTTAAAGAAAAGAAAAGAAAAAAAACAATTCTCCCTGTGATGAGAATTCTTAGAACTCACTCTCTTGACAACTTTCCTGTACATCATATGGTAGTAGTAACTATAGTTATCATGTTGCACGTTACATCTCTAGTACTTATTTACCTTATAACTGGAAGCATGTGTTTTTGATTATTTTCCTATACTCCCCGCCCACCACAGCTTCTGATAATAAATCTGATCTCTTTTCCTATGAAGTTTTCATGGGTTTTTGTGTTTGTTTGTTTTTTTTTAGATTTCACAAAAAACTATTTTTGATAAAACAAATCACTAATAATTTTTAAGTTGTACAAGTCCTTCTTACTTGCTTGAAAAAAAAGATTTGGATGATATGCATCATAGAAAGAAAAGAAAGTTTTATGTTAAGTGTAGAAATTATGTCTGTATCATCAAGGTCCTAAAGATAACTATTGGTTTTGTAAACTATTCTCACCTTCATATCGTCTAATGTGCAGAAATACTTCAAAAATTTTAAAAAATTTCACTATTTAAGATGACAATTAGTCTGGCAAAATAAAAAATCTGGCTATATTTTTCTTGCCTCTTTTTTTAATTTTTATTTATTTATGATAGTCACAGAGAGAGAGACACAGGCAGAGGGAGAAGCAGGCTCCATGCACTGGGAGCCCGATGTGGGATTTGATCCCGGGTCTCCAGGATCGTGCCCTGGGCTAAAGGCAGGCGCTAAACTGCTGCACCACCCAGGGATCCCTTTTTCTTGCCTCTTGAATGTGTCATTATAATTTCTCTTCAATTAAGATTGTGAAATCAGTTCATGAATTGTGGGATTGAGCCGTGTTGGCTCTCTGCTCAGTAGGGAGTCTGCTTGAAGATTCTCTCCCTCTGCCCATCCCCCTGAGCACTCTCTCTCAAATAAATAAATGAATCTTAAAAAAAAAAAAGATTGTGGGGTCAGTGTTCAGGCTTATCACCTGTGCCAAATAAAAGCAAATAAGAACACTTAGAGAATAGTTTGGTAGATGGTAATATTCAGTCACAGTAAAAGCAAATGAGAAGGAACCAAGATAAATAATTAAGTGTGCTGAAACTCCATGGTTGACTAGTTAACAGGTTTTTTGTCCTCAGTAAGGTTAATAAATTAATTGTATAGAGAAAACTACATATTTAGAAACACATAAATGAGTTCAGCCAAATGAAAAGCTATCTATCTTCTGCACATGCCTCATCTCTCTGACTCCTTTTCCATGTCCTGCTGCATAGACTCACTGAACAACACAGGCTCCCAGGACTAACCTGCACTGTTTTCTTCCTCTTGTCTTTGCTTAGGTTGTTCCCAGTCTCTGGAAAGTCCTCCCTCACTTACTCTCTGCTTCCTTTGCATCTTGAACTTCTCACAAGAGCCAGCTCACATGTTGTTTTCTGTCCCTGATTCTATTTCTCCCCTGATCACTAACTAAATAAATAATTGCTGAGCACCTACTAGACTGCAAGAGGTGTGTGAGGTGCCAATGCTCCAATCGCTAGGAAGACAGGTGTCTTCTGCTTCCTGGAACTCGGGATCTTGTAGGAGATACTCTCAGTAGCCCACAGCACCACTAACTCATCTCCTTCTAAGAATTCCTCTAAGGGATTTGACATAGGCTTCCTGATTTAATCCTCACTGCAACCCCATGAAATGGGCCCCATTCTCCTCTGCATATAGTGCACAAGGAAACTACAATGCTGCAAGCTACCACCTGGTCATTGTCAGACACAGATATGCCTTACTCTTAAGAAACCCTGGCTCTTTTCATTTCCCAGGGACTTCTTTCTCATTTTCTGAATGTCAGGTCTCTTGGATTCTTCTTTTCTTGCCCCCTGACATGATGTCAAGCTTCTCCTTCTGCTTACAGTGAACCTTGTGAAATTGCTGCCCCGCTGCTCCAGCTACGCTTTGCCCGTAGCCAATCATGCAAGCCCCAATCTGGTCATGGGGCTCAGACATCACTCTCCCTGTCACACTTCACTGCAAGTATGGGCCCAGGCACTCCCTGTCTCCTTGTAGCACTATAGAAACAAGGCAGTGATTTTTAATGAGCTCTTCAACAAGTATTTATGGAGTCCTAGCTGAAGGCTGGACATCACTCTAGGTGTCAGAGATACAGTGGTGAAAAAGACAAACAAGTCTTACTTTCTAGAATATGTACTGGGAAGGAAGATTAAAAGCAAGCCCTTTTGTACCTCATTCTTCCAGGTGAAGTTTTCATTACTGAGTCAAAAAGAAAAGTTCCCTGGATTGTACCTACCACAGTAATAAACACTTACATTTCTTCTGCATTTACAATGAGCCTGTCTCTTTGCCAAGACATTTATATTTATTAATTTCATCTTCTAATCATCCCAGAAGGTAGGTACCATTGTCATTCCATTTTAAAGATGGAGAATCGAGGTTTAGAGTAGTTCAAAGCCATATGGCTAGTAGGAAGATAGAATTTCATATTCCTTCTCAGGCAATGTGCCCAGATCCTGCATGCCTGGTAAATATCTTTGAAGGCAGCAAAGGAGAAGAGAGGTGAATTTTGTTGAATATAAGGGCCAGAACAGTTGCCTTTACATAGAGAAGGGGATATAGCTTTGTGGGCAGAGAAGGTAGTACACATTATATGTCTAGTACTCTGCTAGAGTACTCTGATGGTGCCCTCCTCTCTGATGGTGCCCTGGGATGTTGATAGCACCCCAGAAAGAAAATGTGCTAAAGGAGACTAAACTTTGGGCAGCTTTTTAGCATTGAATAAAATTCTCATTTGCTACCCATGTCACAGAGGCAGAGAACCATCAGATCTAAGAGTCCTCATGACCTTGAACCATGCAGTTGTGAGCTGTGAACCTGAAGGCTTAGGAATTATGGA